ATATAAAGAAATAGAGGATTATTAAAAAAAAAATAAAGGTTATAATATTACTAGATAAAATAATAAAATGAAGGATTTATCAAACTAAATAATAAATTCATTAAACTCATGAAAAATAAAGATGATAAAAAAAAGATTAAATAGAAGAAATAATAATAAATAACAATGCAAAAATAATGAAAAAGAAATAAAATAAAGGAATATTAAAAATATTTAATTAATATCATTAGAATAAATTAAAAAAGTGAAATAGAGATTCTTAAACAAATAAAATTAATTTATAAAATAATTAATTTAAAATTAAATTTTATAAAATTATTAAATTTAAACAATTACCTGTAAAGTATTCTTAGTAGTATTTAAACTTTTACAATAACTAAGATAACTATTTTATCTAGTATTTTTTTTCAGAAACTAAAGGTTGAATATATTTTTTATAAATTTCTTTTTGAATATCTTGAAAATGATCAATAAAATAGTTGTTATTGATATTTTAAAATATGCATTATTTTTAATACTTAATTTGTTATTATTTTAAATTTCTAATGATGTTTTAAAAAATTTTTCTAACGCTAATATATAAATTTATTTGATATACAAAATAAGATAAAAAAATAATATTGTAATTTTAGATTTTAAGTTTTTTTCTAATTAATAATTATAATAAGTATATTAAAATTAATTAAATTAAAAATAATTATATAATAAATAAAGAATTAATTATTATGCTACATTATAACAGAAACACTATCTATAATAATGATCAGAAGTGATACTTCAATTTCATTAGTCTTAGAAATCATTTCTTTAGATTTAGATATAATTTCAATCTTTGTTTTATATATATTACTTATATCTATAACTTTTATATATAAAGTTGCCTATTAGAAGTCATAAATATAGTTCTCATTAATTCTTATTCTTAAATATTTATCTTTCATAAAAAGATATTATAATACTTATTCAATCTAACTTTAACTTTTCTATCATTGTATTATCAAGATCTTTAGTTACTTTATATAAAATTTTATATGATAAAATTTTTCTATCCAGTAATTTAATATTTGGATTAAAAAATCTAAATTATTCAATTACTTTTAAATTATTTGTCTAAGCTAATAAAATTTTACAATAAATAGTAACTCATAATACAAATTAAAAATTTTTTATTATTATTTGAAAAAGATCATATAATATATAATATATTTAAAGATCTATAATTTGATCAATTAAAAGAAAAGGATGATAAAAATGAATAGAATAAAATTTATTCTCTTTGTAATAATAATAATTATAAATGATTTAGTAAAGTTGATACTGATTTTTACGATAGATCATTTTCTATTAAAAATAATAAATATTATTATAATAATAATAAATAAATAATAAATTTATTTAATATTTACTTAAATTAACTTTCTATTTTTATTATTTGTTATAATAATAAATTCTTTTATATTTTTTATAAAAAATTATAAATATAACATTTTTTAAAATTTATTAAATTTATATTAATATATTTAATTATACAACTGTATTAAATACAAAAATTATATAAAAATTATACAAAGTACATATCATATAATATAAATTTATATTAATTATTAAGTACTACTTATACTAAGTCTTTAGTATAATGTATAAGTACTGTACCTGTATAAAAATTTTATTTGTATATATATTTGAATACCTTTTATACCTATTAAATAATTTAAATAGAATAAAAATACTGAATATAAGATATACTAATTTACTTATTTTTAATCTTATATTTAATATTATATTTAAATATATTTTTAAGTAAAAATTAAAATTGGTTTAATTTTCAAACAATCAGTTTAAATCTAAGTTAAGAATCTGATTCAATTACATTTAGATTTATTTTAAATTGAATCAAATTAATTAATTAAATTAAATAAAATTATTTAAATTAGTTAGTAGTTGTAATTTAAATATATAATATAATTAAAGATGATAAAAATAATGTAGTTGACAAAATTGTTAATATAAAATATTTTTTTTTTATTATTCTTGAATTATAATATTAAAGTTTTTAATTTGTATTATAATAGTTTAATTTATTAAATTATTAAATAAATTTTGTTTTAATAATATAAATTTACTAAAATTTTTATTAATACAAATGATAAAGTTAGAATATATATATATAGTATACATAATAATTTATTTTATAAGTTAATAAAGCATTATATTTCATTTTTCAAATATAATAAATATATCTACTATTATATATTAATAGATATATTTTAACAGTATTCAAGAATTAAAATTCTAAAAAAAGAATTTAAACAAAAAATTTATTAAATATAAAACTAGTTTATGCAATTAAATAAAATTAAAATAAGCAAAATGCATATTTCTATTGCAATTATCAAATTTTAATCTCTAATTCTAAATGTTTTTTCAAAATCCAAATTCGTAAATAAATCAAATATTTGTAAATAGTATATATATTTTATTTCTTTACAAAAAATTTTTTTTGAGAATATTTTTTTTAACTTAATTAGATTTCTTTATTATTTCAAATAATAAAAACTTCAGGCTAATGATTTTTTCAAAAAAATCTTATTTAAAGATCTATATTCAGATTAAATGATACTAGTTAAGTTAGTTTTATTAATTTTTTTTTTTAGTTTTATAATTGATATTATTTTTTTTAGTTTGGGTGATTTGAAAATTATATCTGATTTTTTGATTTTTTCCAATTTTTTTTGAATTAATTATTTTAATTTTTACTTTTTAAATTATGTTAATTGTTTTTTTTATTTTAGACAATTTCTTAAGCATTTCTAATGTCTTAATTGGTAAGATTATATTTTTACTTATTAATTATTTTTTAGGAAGCATTAGTGAAATATTAAGTATTTTTATTAAATTCCTTTTTTTTAGTAGGCTGCAGTTTATATATTTAAAATTTAAACAATTTAATAGTATAATTTTATCATTTACTGTATATAAAAAATGCTTTGTCAAAAAAAGAAATGCTACAAAAGTTCTAATTAATGTAAAAAAAATTTTTTTTCTATATATTTTATAATAAAAATATTATTTTTTGATAAAATCCATTATAAGGAAAACTTTTAAAAGGATAATTATAATAATTGTAATCAATTTTATAGCATAGCACTACAATTTTTTATTATTTTATTAGCAGGATCAAACCGTGTAGCAACAAATACAGTAAAATCAAACATTTTAAAATTTGTTCTAAGCTTGGAGGCAAATTAATTATTTATTTAGTTTTAGACTTGATTTGGTATATAGGCGTTAGTAGTAGTACTAGATAGATGTATCATTTACTCTTGATTTCAAAAAATTCGTATCGAAAATTTCAAATAAAAATTTCATAATATTTATTAAAAAATTAATCAGGTAGTGTAACAAGAATTGTTGGCTTTGGTTAAAAAGTCATACGTCAATGAAAAATCAAATTTTCTACGTAGACTCTTAAGGAACCATCAGCACATTAATTTGAATTTTTCGCAAAATGAGTAATTTCAATTACAGAGAAGAGAATAAAAGGAGAGTAATAATAGTTGAGGATGCCTTTACCATCTTATACGGTCACTCCTCTCAAGGTGCATGAACCCTTCTGGACCTTAATTAATAAAACTCTGTAATTAAATTAAAAAAGGCCTTCGCCCGCCACACTCGAGGTCTTAACCGTCTAACCCACGTAGAACGATAAGGCAAATGGTATCATATTTCTATCCTCACCCTCCGAGTCAGCAACCACAACTATACGTAAAGGATTGTAAGTCGGACCAATAAAAGTTCCGTCTCTTCAACCCTCTGCAGAGAAAAAAAGGAAATATACAGGATATAGGGAAACGACTTAAATAATAAATATATATCTAGCGTATTTTCTTTCACATCATCGAAATACATACAACGAAAAAAATATGAAACAGGAAAATATCACAAGTTATTCAAAATAAAAAAAACGAGTATCTATTGCCGTATGTCTTGGGTTCAACAACAAAAAAAAGACCATAGAAATAAAATCCTCCACTATTCGTTAGTTAGAATTAATCCAGGATTTGTCCTTTCATTTAATCACTCAGAGATAACTGCGAAAAATGGGAGAAAAAGTTTTTTTCTTGAACAATTTTCTATCGACTGCTAGTCGAATATATACACGACACGATATTCATTACTCAGATTAGCAGGTTAAGTCTAAATTGGTTTGATGATCAGGGGAAGATTTCTCCTGAGAAATCACGTGATAAATATTTGATCACCCCGTGTCACGCCCTTTAATGCATGAAAGTAGATCGAATTACTTTTTAAAAAGCAGCCCGCAGCGCTTACAAAAAAAAAAAATTTTCCAATCAATGTATTTATGTCGAAAGAAATCGCTTCGTTAAGAAAAAAATAGTTAACATAATAATAATCATATAACCAAGTAAAAAAAAGTTCTTACCACAAAAAAAAAATTCATAATCAAAAGAAAAACAATGTAAAAAAAAAACCTACTGAAAATTCAAATCAATATCAAAAATCGAAAATTACCTGATACCGCGAAAACAAGATTTTTTTTTGAAAAATCGTCAGCCCGAAACATTCGTCTTTTTTCATTTTAAACGAGAAATATTAAGAGAGTTAAATTAGAAGAATATCTTCGGAACAATTTGTTTTTTTGTTTATACTCTCTAGGAAACGTTCGATTTAATTATGACTAAGTAATATAAAACTTATTTCTGCTATAGATTATTTAAATGCTTGGTCAAGAGACATTCGTTGACGCGTGATCAATGAGTATACAGTATATCGAAATCAAATTTGTGCCACATAAAAATTATGACTGACATTAAAAATTAAATTCAATTGGTTGTCAGTTAAACGAATGAAGATAATTGTTATGATAAACTTTGTTTTATATATATTGAAAATTTTATGCCGTAGCAAAATTATTAATGAAACTAGCAAGTAACTTTTTCTGAGTACCCACCGGTGGTCAGCATGTTTAATAATCCCTTATGTCCGATTTATGTGATAGTGTGACGACCGTGACGTCGTTACCAAATGATAGTAGTATACAATGTGAATCAGAATCATATCAGATATGTTTAAGCGATGAAAAAATTAAATGCTTAGTGGTAATAAAATTTTAAATGATTTATTTATTTTATTTACTTCGTTTATTTTATTGGTTATTTATAGAAGTACGCGTATATGGCGTGTACAGCTGTCATTATAACTAATAAGAAATAAAAATTCATTTTATCAAAAAAAAAATAACGATTTTTATGAATCAGCAGCATCATTCTCCTGAGTTGATCATATTCTTTGGTGGAGGATTAGCTTTCAATGCAGAAGTGAGAGAGTTGGCGGATGACGTAAATGACATTTGTGAAAGGGTATGACCTTTTCTTATATGTGAAGTTGACCCTTTGGGTGTTTGTTGGTTTCTGTTAGAGCTGTTTCTTTGATTTAGCAGGGTAAATTCATTGATTAGAATAAAGCATTGGTTTGAATGATTGAAATTAAAGGTATGTTATCTAACTTTAATATATGCTTTCCTGATAATGTTTATCATCAGTAATATTGATGGTTGAAAGTTAATAATGTAATAGCCCCATCAAGATCATATTTATTAATCTTATCAATTGATTAATTAAGTTAGTTTTGTTAACCAAATAGTATGATCAGGGTTGTGCTGGACCTCTAAGGAAAATTCACTTGACTCTTAATCGCCTATGTTTTCTTTCACATAGAATTCAAGAATTGATTTTCCATTTACATTTTTTACCATTTAACTCATACTTCTCACCACTATTATATTTTATATTTATCACTAGTATAATCTTGAAGTCTAAAATAATAATAGGTTTTATTAAAGTTACGTTAACCTTAACAACAAATTGTTTGTCAGAAAACAAATAATTTATAATATTTTTTATTTAAATTGATAGATTATTTTTTTTAAAAGATAAAAGTTTTTGTATACCATATATCAGCTTTTCAAAATAATAAATATTTCTCTTAGATGAACAACTTGATCAGATTCAAAATCCTCTATATGTATTTTAATACTTTAATCAATAAGAATAAATACTTATATCCTTAAATAGATTACCTTTATTAAATCTTTATTATCTAAATATATGATCTCAGCTATTTTTTTGATTATATACTCTAATACTATTCTTTCCATTATAGTATAAATATTAATTATTATATTAAGTTTGTTAATATAATAATAATATTTTTTTTTTAAGTTAAGAATATGAAATTAACTGATCTTAATTTATTTTTTAAAAAATAAGTTAATTAAAAAAGAAAGAATGATAAAGGATTTATATAAAAAGAGATTTTTTAGATTTAGTTTCTTTTAAAAAATTTTAATTATTTATTTAAGAAAAAAGTGTTTTCATAAAATTCAAAAGGAATTTTTTTTTGAGATTTAAAAGAAAAAGGTAAATTATTTATAAAATCTCAAAATAAAATTTCATTTTTGATATTAATTTACTTGTAGAATTCAAAAAAGAAGTTTTTTAACTTAATTTATTTATTTATAAAAAAAAGTTTTTTTATTTTATATAAAGAATTTAAAAAGAAGTTTTTTATTTTTATTTATAAAAAAAAAATAAAAAAAAAAGTTTTGTTTCTTATAAAATTTTAGAAGAAAAAAGTTTAATTTGATTTTTTCAAGAAAAAATCTATTTATCTTTTTTTAAAAAAAAATAAAGTATAAATAAAAATATATTTAAGGTATAAATGAAAATTTTAATCTTATAAATTAAACAATATACTTTTAAAAGAAAAAAATAAATAAAAATTTAATTTATTTATTAAAAAAAAGAAATATAGAAAAATATGCATTTAAGAAAATACTTAATGAATAATATTATTTATATTATATCATATAATGTATATATTTAAGAAATCAAGTTTTTTTATATAGATTAAAAATATCAATTTGTTAAAATGAAAAGTAGGTATAATACTCTATTACTAGAATTTTAAATAGAAATAGAATAGGAATAAAAGTAGGAGTTAGAATAGAATTAGAAATATATTAGATTAGTATTTATAAGTAATTTTTACTAGCAAATCATAATTAAAAAAGAATAAAGATTGTAAGTGTTTTAATGATTATTAATACTTTATAGGTATTTAATTTAAAAATAAAATAAAGTAATATAAAAATCTGTATTATGAACATACAAGTTTTAAATAAAAGAATAAATACATTTTTACTTTACAATATATTTTTATTTTAATTTATAGTTGCGAGGCAAAACCCTAAACCCATTTTGGCAAAAGTCGAAACTTTTCAGAATTTGTTTCGACAGTTTCGACGGGTTTCGATGGGTTTTGATGAGTCTCAAAAGTTTCGACGGTTTTGATAACAACTTTGCGAATTCTAATTAAATTCGATGGGCTTTAACAGGTTTATAATATCACAAATCGTAGAATATATAAAAAACTTTTTTTTTTTTTTTTCTTTTAATTTTATCTAACACAACCCATTTATCATAATAATGAGCAGCAATGAAGATGCAAATCGAAAAATTGGCGGAAGACTGGAAAAGGATATTTAGAAACATTTTATAAAAGGAAACGAAAAAGCTTCTGGGCGTTATGAAGCAACATGTAAAGCTTGTATGAAATTTTGGACAAGAGGTGAACCAGCAATAATGGAAGAACAT